CTCACTGACCCCAAGCACAGCTGCCCCCTGCATCAGCCCCTATGCCACATAGTGGGACTGAGTTAGAGAACCGTTTCATCTTCTGAGAACTCCATTTTTTAGAAAGATGCCTCAAGGCCACAGGCTACATTGGAAGGACTCAGGAAGGGCTGGGGTCCTCAGGGTGTTTAAAATGATGATGTGACATACTAGTAGTTCGCTATGCCAACATGTTTCTGCGTGAAATTGCCCATCCAGGGGGCTCCTGGAAGTTCAGTCATGCAGCTCCATCTGGCTTAGAGCAAATGTGATATGATTTGTGCAGATAGCACTGCTAACAGTGGCTGGCAGTCGCCTTCTGCTCGGACCTCTGTACCCAGGTGGCTGCACAGCGGAGGGCGAACAGCTTCAGGAAACCGGGTTCCTGTGCTTTCTGATGATCAGAGGCCGCTGTTGGGGAGGTGAGGAGCAGGGACTCAGAGTTCAGGTGCAGAGGTGGCTTCCACAGAGTGTGGTAACTGAGAAGGTACATCTCCGCAAGGGCTTGGGGGCACCATTTAATTCCTCTTAGTGCTGAAAGGGGACTTGGTGGAATTGATTTGGCAAAAAGGTTAATGGGTTGTTATGGCTGCCAGTTGGCCGATTGAATCACTAGCAATTGGGGCAGGGGAAGCATTTAATTTGATGCACTGAATGCAGGCCCACCAGAGCCAGTATCTTGCTTAGGAAACAAACACTGAGGAACCTACTGTGTTGCTTGTAGCAATTGCTTGTAGCAGTTTCTCAGTGAGTGTATGTGTGTGTAGCTCCAATATGCTCCTGTTTTTAGGCTTTTTACCCTCCCCTGTTATACAAGGTCTGGTTGTGACCATCCTCTGCTCGCTCACCTGCCCCAACCCCTGGCCCCTAGAGAAAATACAAGACAGTAGTTTATTTTTCTTCTGTGTCATGTTATTGGAGAACCGTGCAAATGCAGGCCATTGTCTTTTACAGAACAGAGCTCTCCTAAGTAGGATGCACCAATGATGATCCAGTAGGGCAGAGGTCAGCAAACTGCAGCCTACCACTTATTTCATCAATAAAGTTTTATTGGAACACAGCCACCCCACTCATTTAGAAGTTGCCTAGGGCTGCATCCACACTACAGTGGCCGAGATGAATAGTTGCAACAAACACCAGCCAGCCCTCCAAACAGGGAACTTTTACTATGGCCTTTAACAGAAAGCATTTGCTGGCTCATTAGGGTTGCCATATTTAGCAAATAAAAATACAGGATGTCCATTTAATTTGAATTTCAGGTAAACAATGAATAATATTTTAGCAAAAATGTGTCCCTAATTTAACTAGGAAACCTGTATTTTTTTCTTTTTTAATCTGGCTTCCCTAAGTCCCCTGCACTAGAACATAGAAAGGAAACATTTCGGCTTCTGTTTACTTTTGTCTTTTATCTCAACCCATTCCCATTCCCATTTCTTTGAATGTTTTCTGATATTATGCTGAATGGTATATAATCATTTGTAGATAAACTAGAGGCCTGATGCACGAAATTTGTGCAAGGGGCTCAGCCCTCGCAGCCCTGGCTTCGTCTGGAAGGTCATCCAGAAGGACACCTGGAAGGTTGTTCGGGTGTCTGATCTAATTAGCATATTATGCTTTTATTATTATAGATAAGTGATGTGCTCAGAGTTGCATTTTACTGATGGTAGAGTAGGACCAAAGCAGTGTGGGGCCTCAGGGAGAGCAGGGGCTGCTCCACCTCCTGTGGCCAGTGAGGGTTCCAGTATGGCCTCTGGTGACACGTGGCAGGAGGAAAGAATACAAATCCAGCTCTGGGCACTGAGACCACGGCTGCAAATGGATGGATCATTGTTCCTAGACAGGGTGATTGTGAAACTCATTGGCTATTTGCATCTGGAGTACAGGCCAGAGCCTAGCAGGTCCTCTTTCCTCTTATTCAAATGAAGACAGTTCTCTAGGGAAGGGAAAGTGCAGAGGGTCCCCGAGCTCCGGGTGGATACCCCTCAGAGTGGGCCTTCGCCCCCTGCCAGTGCTCCCTCCGACTGCCCTGGTGACTCACACCAGGTTAAGCTGTTTGTGTCTGGAGACTTAGAGCTCTCTGCCCTGTGGTTTCAGTTCCCATGGGGTTCCGTGACACAGTTTTGTTTTCACTTTGCATTTATCATTTGAGTTTCCATCCTTCATCTCTTTTGTATCTGATGTTCTTGTGAAACTCTGTGGGGATTCATTTTAAATTGTCCAGTGAGCAGCCACCACTGTGGCTCTCGTGGTTCACAGTGACTCCTCGGCATGGCGTCCGTTTGGGCAGTGGCCATGTACTGGGCATCTCAAAGAGAGGAAAAAGGGCCCTGGCTTCTGGGAGAACAGAAAGGGTCTCCCAAGAACACCCCCCCACCCCCGAAATACAGAGTCCTCATCACACCCCTGAATTCATGAGCAGGACGTGAACTGCACCAGCCCCGGAAGGAAACGCCCACCTTTCTCCTTGGAGGATACATCTAAGCATCTTTCTCTTGAATCTAAAAGGCCTCCTTGCTAAACAGCACAGCCAGTCAGTCCCTGATTCTTATCTGCTCCAGGGCTAGGCGAAGGCTGTCACAGGAGGGCCCCCCTTCCTGCTCAGGAGCCCACAGGGTGTCTTGTCACTGTGGATTGGAGCTGTCGGTCATGAGCTGAGAAGGGGGACACTGGCCCCATTTGTCTCTCAGAGGCCAGAGGTCCCATCTCCTGCCATCGTAAAAAGGAAACCGTGTTTTCCACCATTTATTCATTTATTCACCAACAGAATTTCCTGGGGACCTACTCCACATCATGCCCTGAGCTACACTCAAGGGATACCAAGATGGTGAAGTCTCTAGCTACCCTCAAGAAGCTTCAAAATTTAAAGAGATTTTTTTAAGGCAGTGTGATGAGTGTCGAGGTACAAGAGAGCATTGTGTGCTGTCAGAGCCACTGTAAGGAGCATTCACACAGAGAAGGTGGTACTGGAGCTGGACTTTGAGGCCTGAGTAGGAGTTTGTTAAAAGGAGAAGAGGGTGGGGAAGGCTGCAATAAGCAGAAGGAGCAGGACTGGTAAAGCTCACAGGCTCAAGACGGAAGGTGTGCTCTTGGTTTGCAATTATGTGTTTTAATAGCCGTGTGTGCCTTGTATGCTGAGAAGATAAGAAAGGACAAGACTAGGAAGTGGTTGTGGGCTCTCCTGCATTTCTATTACCTAAAAGCAACGAGGAAAATATGAATTACAACAGAGATAAAAAGTAAAACTGACTCCTTGGCCTGAAAACTCACACTTGACTAAAGTCATCCATTAAGCAAAAAAAGAACAAAACTCACATTTTTCTCAAAGCTATCACAGCTTCTAGTTTCCTACCACATCAAATCTTAATTTCTCTACCTGATACAGCCTGCCCTGACCCGACTCCATCCCGTTATCTGGCTTCCCCAACTCCTGTTCCCCAGCACATACCATTTACTTGGAGTTGGCCAGTGATGCTTGCCACTTGCATTTTATTGATGAATAAATTGGAGTCCTGAGAGGTTAAAGAACTTACCTCAGGAGAAGGAGCCAGTGCAGAGTGGAGTTTGGACTTGAACCTGTTCCTCTGTCAAAGCCAGAGTCCTTTGAGCCAGGCTCTTTCCTGGAAGACCTCGGCCCAGTGGCACCTGGTCAGTTCCTGTTGGTGGACTGATTGATTGCAGTCAAATCTCTTAGCAAGCTTTTGGCTGAGCGGGGCATCTGCCCCCACTCCCTCCACCTCCACTTTCAAAGTCCGAGTTTCCAAGGCTTCCTGCCACGGGTACTTGGCTCGGAGAAAAATGAGCGTATTTTTCATTCTTGTTGCCAGTCTCCCAGTGGATCATGGCCATTATTCCCTCCCTTCCCGCTCAGGATTGAGCTGGTGCTAAAACACACCACGAGGAGGGGCCTCCTTTTAATGGTTAGTGTTTGGGGGTCACTCCATAGAGAGGGGTTGGTAGGAATATCCTCACTTTGCCTCTTTTTCTTGAATCTGCTTGGAATGTAATATTTTAAAGACCTTCTTGGCTGGAGGATTTTTTATTATAAACATAAAATGTTCATTGAAACATTAAACATTTTACAGCTGTTTTTCAGCACATAAATTTTCATAGACACCCACCCCCCCACTGCCACCCCCTCCTCATATATTTCTCCTTTTCCTTCTTCTTCTTTTTTTTTTTTTCCACCTCAACTATTCCCAAGACAAAAGTTAAGGGTGAGTCGGGGGCTAGGTCACAGCTAAAATACAATGGGCAACGTGGGTCCTCCAATTTGGAAAAGCACATTGTATTTAATACCATGAGGACTGTGCCTGTGTCAGAACCCTGCCAAGGAAAGCAAGCACACCCCTCCTTTCAGCCTTGACTTGAGCCACTGTGAGGCCGAACCCTAAGTCAGACCTGAGGAGGCTACTGGGCAGGTCCATAATGTGTCTCCTCTCCCAACCAGAGCTAGAGAAGGGCTGGCTCTGAGAAAGCCCAAGGACTGGCGAAGGCCAGTTAGGGGAACACAAGCTGCCTGTGATTTGTCGAAGGGTATCCTTCTGTTTGGATGATTGTGCGTGGTTTGGCTACTCATGACAGCAGAGTCCTTCAAGAAAGCTGGACTAGTTTGCTCCAAAATAGGGCAGGATGAGGCTGGTGCTGAGAGGCCAGGGGAAGAGTATATGGATTGGTAGTGATCAATCATCTGCTAGGCCTTGACCCTAATGGGCACTCTGGGTGCCTGGGAATGCACTGCCAGTTTCCTATGAACCATGGATAGCATGGGCGCTTTGGCCCTGCCAAACTCCATAACAGGAATACCAGATGTCACCACCTTTGCCATGGCCTCCTGGTGGGTGGGGTGAACTTCCTTCATCCTGGGGTTCTGGCATTGGTCATGCGATTTTCTTTTGCCCATGAGATACTAGCCAATGTGATATGAGCAGAGTCTTGAAATGTGCTTGCCTGATTGGGTTTGTCCCCTTTCACTTCTCATGTAGCCAACACCTCTACGCTTGAATTGCAGAATAAGATCTAGGAAGCTAACCTGAACCTGACCTACAACTTGGAGCTAAGTGCTGCTAAGCCCAGTCAACATCAGCCAAACCCCAACCAACCCGTAGATCAGTGAGTAAGAAAAATAAAGATTTGTTTCTCTGAATCATTGAACTTTTGAGGTTGCTAGTTATGCAGCAGTATTGTGGCAATAACTGACTAATACAACTGCCCCCCGCCCACATACTTTATATTCCACTTATAATAAAAATCCACATTCTCTCCACATGCCCTACAGATCCGAATTGCACCTGCCTCTCAGACTTTACCTCTTTTACTGTAGTTCTCTTCTTCCATAGTGTAAACCCATGAGCTCCTACAGTACACAGGGGAGGTCCTGTGGATGCCACTGGGTAGATGTAGATGACTCAACATGCTGGAGCCCTAACTCCGTCCTAACTCTATCTCCAGTTCCTCCATGACTGAGGCTAAATGGTAGCCATTCTCTAGTCCTCAGTTTCCCCACCTGTCCTTGATCTCTTGGGTCCCTCTGAGACTGAACATCCCATGGTTCTCAAAGATTCTGAAGCTGAAATGAAACTCCTTCAGGGCAGCCCTAGTCCACAGTGGCCCAGGAAGTTCCAAGTCTAACTTGGCCAGGGCAGAGTGTTGAACTTGGCCGGGGCATGTGGCCTCTGCAGACCCTAATGGATGACAGAAGAGTTCCATGCCTATCATACAGTTAATTTTCCCACAGATGTGGCTATTCTTCTCCTGAACCTGATTTGTTCATTCTCGCCTCTGACATTTATCCAGTGTACCTGTGTCCTTGGTTACGTGTTGAACTCCCCAGGTACAAAGGTCACCAGACCTTGGACAGAGTGGCCACTCAATACCTGTCTGATGAATGAGGAACGAAGGAATCTCATTTATACTCTACAAATCACAAATATATATAAAATAGCCCCAAAGACTCTATGTAAATAATTATCGTTGCCCACGGGTAGAAATGTTTAACTGTTTCTGGGCAGTTAGTTGCTCAATCATTTTTTAAAAAATATATTTCTTTATTGATTTCAGAGGGGAAGGGAGAAGGAGAGAGAGACAGAAATATCAATGATGAGAGAGAATCATTGATTGGCTGCCTCCTGCACACCCCCCACGGGGGATCAGGCCCACAACCCAGGCATGTGCCCTTGGCCAGAATCGGTCCGCAGGCTGACGCTCTATCCACTGAGCCAAGCCGGCCAGGGCTGCTCAATCATTTTTATCACCAGTGTTTACTGGGCATGCTTTCATGTCAAGCCCTGGGGATACAAAGTTAAATAAAATAGGAGAAACTTAACCCAGCCATGCTGGCTGTAAAATTCACCTTTTGGCTCCCTCCCACGTTTCCTCGGGGTCTTGCTCCATCTCCACAACAAGCCTACATTACCATCAGAGACTCTGGATCTTATTATAGTACAGCCTCAGTCAACATGCCCTAACTGGTGAGCAGACGGCAGCTACATGAAATCACTGGGCGCAGATAGGAATCAACAGGGGAGATTAGGTAAGGTGCTTATTTGAGGTGCTGTCAGGGCTCATGGCAAAAGGGTTCCCTGGGGTTCGAAGTGTATCCTCTGCAGTTATTTTTCATGCACACTCGGATTACACCACTCGGTGATATTACATCTGCATGCACCTTGCCCTCTGACACGTCAAACATGGTGCTGCCAAAATGCTTCTAAACCCGTATATTTTAAGTAGGAAGGAGCATCTTTGAGGGGAGGTAAGTTGATGTGAAAAGCATCCTGACACACAGTCTCCTGTTTCTCCTTGCAATCAAATAATGCCTTTTTCTAATCCCTGGAGCCACAGTGAAATTCAAACCTGGACGAAACCAGGGACTATCTGTAGCAGTGGGATCAGAGAAATTGGTCAAGTGTATTCTAAAATTATCAATTGCTGCTCACCCAGCATGGTGTGTTCCTGGCCTTGTGGGATGAGTGGACCACAACTGTGGTGAGGTCTGGCCCTTCATGACCCAGGACTGCTTGAATGGAGAAGCAAATACAAAACAGCAGTGCTTTTATGGGTTAGCCGCTGTCTATGTGCCAGGGATCAGATGTAGATTATCTTTCAATCCTTGTAACCACCTGCAACACCAGTAGTGGCCCCATTTGACAGATGGGGAAACAGAGCCCCAGAGAAGTTAAAGCCCCACCCTACAGAGAAAAAAATTGATTTTTAAGAGAGTTAAAATTAAAGAATATTGGAATGTTTGAAAATTCTACACAGACTATTACATTAAAATTACTATTTTAATTTTAAAAAAACTGAAAACACTCAGGTTTTGGATTCTAGTGGTAGAATATTTAATGTTTTGTGGTTTTCCTTAACATTAGGAGTAGCAGTATATACCATAGTTAAGAATGTATTTACGTATTTATTTCAGTAAGAAAAACATTAAGGTGGGGGATACATGGTCAGATAATAACAGAGCATGAATAAGGCTGGAGGAAGTATTTGCTGGTTTAGTTGAGAAATAGCTAAGAAGAAAAAAATTACAGAGCTTAAAATAGGTACAATATATTATATATCTGTGAAAATGGGCCAAATAGATTGCCTCCATTAAAGTCATATTGGATGTTCAAATCTCGGGTTACCTGGAATGCAACTGTACTTCCTATATTTAACCAGGCTTTTTATAAACCATTTCTCTTAACACCTCAAGCTGACAGCCACATCCTGGGTGGTTATTTAATACCAAGTTTGACTTTCTTCATTTTGAGAGTCCTCAAAATAGATAGAAGACCAGAAAGTGGCTTTTTAAAACTCTAATGCTGTTTACAAGTCTAAGGCTTTTTCACAGAGTGACTGTGAGCAGCCCTTTTTCTTTTCCTTTAATTGTAAATAGACAACCATAGGCCAAATATAAGAGAAATAAGACGGCATATAGAAAAAATTTTAGAAGTCCTTTCCACATCTTAAAAGCCAGGAAGCGAGGAGAAAACAAAAAGAAAAGAGAAGAAATACCAATTCCTCTATGACCATTTAAATCTTTGTGTAGTTCAGCTGCTGCCTGATCCACACAGAAGAGAAGCCATGGCCCAGGCCTTCTGGCCTACCAGGTGATCTTCATTTAATCCCTCTGCTGAGCTTCAGTTCATCTGAAAGACTGCAGTGCCAAGCACAAAATTCCCTCCCTGTTCTGTCACTCCTAAGAACTGTGAGAGGTAGGTGTCACCAGGACTCCTAGCTGTGTGACCTGAAAACAGAATTCCCATTAGGATAAGGAGGCGCCAATTGGCTTAAAAAACATGAAGAAAGAACAGTGCTGTTTCAAACCACTGACACCACATTGTCTTCCAAAGTAGATTTGGAATAACGCAAAAGGGACTAGTACAATACATGTAAAGGACGATTAGACATATTTATTTATGTTTTGAATAACCTGTTAGAAACTAATTAGAATAAAATATGAGATGGATATACCAGGAACATTATTAAATTATGTCTACCAGCATTAAATTTAACTGAGTTTCCTGGGAGTCTGAAACTAAGAATTGTCATTAACCAATAAAAAGAAGTATAGATGTATACTAACAAACCTTTAACCTGCAACATAATTCTAAGAATTTATCAGGTAGACCCTTCTTTATTTATTTTTTTAAAAGATTAAAGTAATCATACATTATTTTAGAGTTTTCTAAAGATCCGAACATTCTTCTGTCAGTCATGCAAGTCTTATATGCCTGAGTAAAAATAGAGTGTAATATTAAACTATAAATTAAGGAAGCCACTTATACAAAGAGTGAAAAAGTATGTAGGCCCAGTTTATTACCTATATTATAACATTCTTAAAGGAAGGAAGGAAGGAAGGAAGGCACATGTGCGCATGTTTAGGATAAGACTAGAGGCAAAGTGGTCACCCAAATGAAAACGAATCACCTGATTGGTACTCATTACTGCCCCTTCTATGTGAAGATGGGCTGTTGCATTCCACTGAAGAAAATCAGCATTTTTCTTTAAAAAAAAAAAAAAAGGAGGATGGGGAGGAGAAGAGAAGGCATCGAATCCACTTAAATTCAACACATTCTGACTTTGATTAATCTAACAAAGACCAAGTCTTGCCAGTTAGTTATCTCAATTCATAGAAGAAAACCCTTCCATCTCTTGTACAATATCTGCTATTGAGGTATTCACATAGACACAGAACTGAAAATATACATTTAAGTACTTGAGTGATGTGAAATCTAGTAAATGTTATTTAGTCATTTTCATATAGGTGTTGCAGAATATCAGATTAAAACAGGATTATTTTTTCTAATATGATTTAGCTAACAAGCTCAGCAGATTTTTAATCCCACTCCTAAATCACGGTGCAAATCTATAAGATGGACACTTTGTATTCATTTCCATGATAATAACCATCTTAAGTTAACATGTATAGAGCACTTTCTATAAAGTGCTAAGGACTTTATATGCAATTGTTATGTTTAATCTTCACAAAAACTTTATGAAATAAATAAGTGTCATCTAATAAATTCAGTCACATCACTATTTAAGTGGCCTGGTAAGCCAGCCTAGCTCACTGGTCAGGAATTCCAAGGGTCTAGTTTCCTTATCCAAATCTGTCGTGGCCCTAAGTTGGCTTGGTGCTACCTAGGGCAGCCGCACACTCCAAGGCAAATATCAGTGGGCATAATTCTGGGTTCTTTGGTGTTCTGGTTCTTCCAGGATGGCAATGACTCCATGAATCTTCTAGGATTCCCATTTCACCAGCCAGATGCAGAGAGAATGAGAGGGAATATATTGGAGTCAAGGGGACATCCATCTATACTTTTCAAGATTCTTCACAACTGTCTTTGTCACAGCAAATATTATTGTAGGATTTTAAAACTGAAAGAAAGCACACAGTGAAGGGACTTATCCAAGGTCAAATGCTTCATAAGTGGCAGAAATAGAGGAAATTTGTCCAATGCAATCCAACTTATCTATATCAAGAAGAGAGATATGCCAAGGAGAATGATCATTAAATTATCACTAATGTGAACCCTTGTGATTACTCCCAGAATTTTTTTTAGATTATCCCATAGGGCACTATTAAGCATTATTAGATTGTGTTTATTTATGGATTTGGCTGGGCATTTT